AGGCAAGAGAGAGCCAGTTTGGTGTAGTGGTTAAGGCACCAGGCTAGAAACCAGGGGACTGTGAGTTCTAGTCTTGCCTTAGGCACGAAGGCAGCTGGTAACTTTGGCCTAGTCACGTTCTCTCAGCCCTAGGAAGGAGGCAATGGAAAACTGCTTCCAAAATCTTGCCAAGAAAACTGCAGGAACTAGTCCAGGCAGCAGCCAGGAGTGAACACTGACTTGAAGGCCCCCCCCCAAAAAAAAACCCACAGGGAAAGGGCTTGGTGATTGTGAACGTACATTGTTTTTTTCATTGTAAAGCTCTTTTTTAATGGTTTCAGTAAAAAATGCAGTTTTCTTCATCCAAATAGTAACTGTGACATTGCATGTATTTCTTAACATGGAAGCATATTAGTGCTCATTGATAACTGGATGTTGCTTTTTGTGCCTCCCAAGTTTTTCTTGTTTTAAAAGTATGTGTCATATATTCTGTGAAGTAATGATTTGATTTTATCATGTGAGTGTTCACTAGATGGCACTATAACCTCATGAATAAAAACAAGCTTACAGCAATAAAAAACGAGCTTACAGCAATTTTATAGAGGCAAATGAAAGTGGTAACAAATATGGGGGAAGAAACATACTTCTCACAGAACATTAAAAAAAATACTTTCCTTTTTAATATCTTCTGTAAAGGACAATTAAATATTGGACCTAGTTACCAGAATGATGAATATATGAATAAATACTACAGTTACAATTTTGAATAGAGGAACATAGCTTTACTTTGCTTTTATTCATACAAAACAACCTTTTGTATAAATAAAAGCAAAGTAAATAAATTTGTTCTATCCTTTTCAAATTGATTATCAACATTCATTATGCTTTCTTATGTAGTCAACTTTTTGTAAATGTCCCTTCTTTTATTTGAACTTTTGACTATCCATATAATTTGAGCATCATCATACAGCCTGAAAAAGTAGAATTCTGTTACTATAAGTTGGAATAACAAGAAATAGGAATGGATTGTCCTGAAAGTCAGTAATTATTTTAGGTCTAATGGAAGCACAGGGTTTGCTTGTTGGGTAGACAACAAAAATAAAAAGCTAAGATCACAGTTGTCATATTATCAGAGCTAAATAATAATTTAAAGTGATGCATGAGACTTATTAGAAACCAGTCTGGGTATCTTTAAGCTGAAGAAGACAATCTTCTTTCAGTTTTTTTGTTTGAAGATTAACATATCAGCTACAAATCAGTTTGTGATTTGTCTTTAAATTGCCATATTCCTGGGACACAGTATGGGACCTTCTGATTGATTGGAAGAACCCATGTATTTCATTTGGACAATATGGAAATATAAAAACAAACCATTGCTGTTCAATAGGTGGATAAACTCTGGACAGAGCTAAATTATAACTGGGTTCTCATTGTGTTGTACAACTATAGCTATTATTTCTTTGTCACTGTACTGTTTAAAACAACTTAATTGTTACTGTGTTTCAGAATATACACTAGATGGCACTTTTATCAAAGAATTCTAGTCTTAAGCTTGTTTTAGACAGCTTCTTTAATGATTTGAAGCTCATTAAAATCTTTTCAAAAGCAAGCACTCCACTCAAGGAGT